GTCCTTTGTACTTAGTAAACCTTTTAATGCTATTTCCTGAATCCCTATCTCCCAAAGATCATTTCTCATTTCCTCCATCTGGTTTTCATACCTATTGCATTTTAGCATCACATGTTTTACTGACTCCTCTTCACTACAGCCCTCACATAATCCAGTTTCAAGCTTTCCAATCAAGTTAAGTGTTTTATTTAATAAACAATGACCCAGTCTTAATCTTGTTTTCACTATTTCTTCTCGCCTGTTATCTTTTGTGTTTAACAACCTGTTGAATTTGATACGAATGCCTTCCTTTCTTTTCACTGTCCCACTTCTCTTGCCACTTTTGATTTATTCTTACCCATATTAGACTTTTCACTTCTGCTTTACTAACCCTTATTTGCACTTTTACATTTTGTTTTATTTCTTCCCTTTCCTTCTTCTTTTATTTCTAATCCTAATTTACCAACACCCAGTGGATTGGAGCGTAACAGAGCTGAAGTGAGAAAATGGGGTAAATAATATTTATGATATAATTTTAAGACATGATTTCATTCTTCTACTATTTGATTTTATAAGTTTGTTTATCCCCTTTATCACAGATTTTGAATTATTTAAAACTATTTGTTTTTTCTTCTTTTCATTTTCTTGTAAAATAAGGCATTATAACCATGTGCTGTTTTCACAAACCAGATAATTATCTCTCTCTCTATCAATGTAAAGAAGGAATAGCACAATTTATTTGCAGAGTTTCAATGAGCTTTAGGCTAAATAATTACAAAATAAATATTTTACATAAGTAATTAAAAAATAATAATAATTTCAGTACAATTATTTAATAATTATTTTATGTTGCATTAATTTCTGTAATTAGTAATTTAGAGAAAATTCTATAGTATTGTAAAGCATACAGTAAAGCACTTGAATTTATCTGGTGTGGTAATACTATAGGCTAGTTGCTATAGGATTACATAGTAGACAAATTACCTGTTCAGGATGTGTGTGCACCAAGGTTGCAGAAAATAACCCCCGGGAGCGCTAGCATTTACAATGGAAGGACATACGATGCAGTACAGAGTTTGTTGTATTAGAGATAAGTTATATTGATTACATATTTACATATTATGGATTGTTTGACACTATCGGGCACACATGTTTGATTACTTCTTTATCTTTGGAAGTAGTAGTAAGCTAGTCTAAGTGTAATACAAGTCCTTTGAAGGGAATTTCTATCACTGGAACAGAATTAATAATCAGCCAGCTAGCTGTACTGCATTGTTTTTAAAAGATGTCTCTCAGATCCTCTTCAGTTTTTTTTTTTATAGATGCTTCTGGCCCTCAGCTTAATATTGATAAATGTGAGCTACTTCTGATTAAAAAGTATGCTGCTTCCACTATCCCCGTCAAAGTAAACTGAAAATATTTAGGAATCAAAATAACAGAAAACTAAGATGTCAGGAAAATTTGGACCCAATATTAAAAAAAATAATAATAATAAAAGTAAAATAAAATTAGTGTGTGGTTATTAAGAGATTTATCATTAAAAGGTGGGACTCTACTAACAAAAGCAGAAGCCGTCTCAGGTTATCCTGTTGGTAACTTATCCAGCAGTGGCGCTGTAGGTAGTGCTATCGCCTCACAGCAAGAAGGTCGCTGGTTCGAACCTCGGCTCAATTGGTGTTTCTGTGTGGAGTTTGCATGTTCTCCCTGCCTTCGCGTTGGTTTCCGCCGGGTGTTCTGGTTTCCCCTACAGTCCAAAGACATGCGGTACAGGTGAATTGGGTAGGCTAAATTGTCTGTTGTGAATGTGTGTGTGGATGTTTCCCAGATTTGGGTTTTGGCTGGAAGGGCATCCGCTGTGTAAAAACTTGCTGGATAAGTTGGCAGGCATTCCGCTGTGGCGACCCTGGATTAATAAAGGGACTAAGCTAACAAATTAATGTTTTACGCAGCGGATGCCATTCCAGCTACAACCCATGGGAAACATTCATACACTATGGACAATTTAGCCTACCCAATTTACCTGTACCACATGTCTTTGGACTGTGGGGAAAACCGGAGACCCACATGAAACCCACGCGAATGCGGGGAGAACATGCATACTATGCATTAATAAACTTCCTATCAAACTCCCATTTTCATCAGCAAATGTTTCTGGCTTGAAAACTTATTTATAAGCACAATTTCACTTTTTTTTTTTTAAAAATGTGGAACAACTGTATATTCTACATAAGAGGAAATTTTTAGCCTTTAATAATGGGTTCAGTAATGTGGTGATATTAGTGAACCAGTTATTTGATAATAATGGTAATTTATTTACTTACTCTGGTTTTACTTCAAGATATATCCTGCCCATATCTAGAATAGTTTGTAAGGCCATCTTCTCTGAGATTTGTATGCTATTTAGAAATAGTAATAATTTGTTGATTTCTGTATGTCCCCTCAGGCCTGAACTGGTTTGCCTTAGCTTAGCTTAAAAACAAACAAAAAAAGCAATACAGTGATGTTTTTTAACATCATAGCTAACAATTTTCATCTGCAGATTATGGATACAATTAAAAGATGCAATAGAGGAGAAATAGAGGTGGCCGCTTTAAGACAGCTATTGATGGGAGTTGTAGTCCATGGCGAAGTGCATTGTGGGTAATGTAGTTTGACGCCCATGCCATATGTTGTGAGCTCTAGCTGTGTGCTGCGCTGTGAATGAGAGAGAGAACATTTCACAAGGTTTTGTTTTACGTTTACTCCATTAATTTCACCCGGGAGCTGTTCAGCACTGTAGCTTAAAAACACTAAAAGAAGGACATGCATCGATCAGCTTTGTCCGTCTCCTCATTTGCTCGAGCATGAAATAACGAGCTCTTACTCTGCCTCCAGATATCTCGGATAAATTTTTAGTAAAAAATGTTTTTTTTCTGCAGATGAATAGCCTTAGATAAAATTATGATTAAATATATAAAAAATACACGGTATTGTGTTTTAAATCCCCAGAAACCACCTTCTCCTGCGTTTTCAGCATAAAGACATTTTCTGCAGATGACAAGTGTTTACCTAAATGTCTTTTAAAACAACAAAAGCATCACTGTGTTTTATCTAAAATAAAACTCACTGGAATTTGTGCAATGTAGCATCGTTTAAATTTATCGACTAACAGTTTGAAAGAAACGAGCGAAACAACAAACAACAAAAATACAATAGAGATCGGTGTCTGTGCAAATAATTTCACAATCTAATTATTAAATCTGTAATGAACACAGAGCTAACGCAAATATAGCAAAACAACCATGAACTGATTCACTGCGCGGAGCAAATCCATCGTAATTTGTATACTAAAAGATGCCATGTTGCGCATGCGAACTGGAAGTCCTAAATTTGTAGCCCGACCCCTAGGGTTGAGAAACACTGGTTTAAACCAATCAGCATTTAGGTTGTGTTAGCATGCAGAAGCACAGCAGGGTTTTTTTTCCACATTTGCTGGAAAGTTTCACCGTCTCAGCGGCAGCACGGTCTACTTCAGCTCTTCTCTTAGTTTATTGTGTAAAATTATAAGAATTAAGAACAGTTTTTCAAGTGCACAAACAAAAATTGCAAAAGTATTTATTTGACATGTTTGCATTACTCTGTTTGTTGTTATGGCGTCTGAATGGTGAGTGTCTGTATTATTATAATAATAATTATTATTTTTTTTTTTATTATTATTTGTCCACATGCATTGCTCTGTTTTAATTTATCAAACTAGTGTATGTTCTTTGTGTATAATTTTATTTTAAAATTTTCCTTTTCCATTGATATCAGAGAATTACATTTCACACAATATTGTATGTATCTCAACACATTTTTTAATGTGTCAGAGAGGAAACATCATAACACCATTGGCACAAATGAATCTCCGATGAAAAAAACATAATGGTCTTCAGTAATGTTACTTATTAGAAAAGTAACACCAGTGACAATTTTCATTTAAAAAAATCAATTTTAGATAATGTCTGCTGAAATGTATCCAACCACATCTTGACAATCATGATAGTCTTACTAAATTAAGGAGCTTAATCCATCTATATTCTATTCTATTTAATTTTTTTTTTCAATTTACAATAAAGGATGTCACCAGTTACGCCAACTAAAACATAAAACATAAAAAAGACAAAGTTCTGATAACTGAAAACTGACAGGCTTTTCTTCACAGATCTTCAGGAAATAGGAAGAAGAAAGTTACGTCAAAAGAGGGATTTTCAGTTTAACGAAACAGATTTTTGTTAAACAGTGACACAACTCCAGGAAACAGAAACTTTTATTACATATTTTATAACTTTTACTCAATATTTTATTTTAAAATGTCATTTACATCATATATTTGGTGGTTATGAATACAGTATTGTTTACTGAATGGTAGAAACAACTTGACCTCACAATAAAGCACTTTCTTTCTGTACACTGCTATAGGGACAAGCAGTTTTGTGATGCTTGCAATTTTTTACGCAAGTAATTAAACAACTATTGCCACATTGATGACTTTAAAGGGTGTATTTTTTCAAATATTGTTTCATATTAAAATAAAAATAAATTATAAACCTAAAGTGAATATTGCTGTGAGGTCTTGGAACAGAAAATGCATGTTTTTGTATAATGACCCTGAAGTGAAGCAAGACAAATTTTAAAATGGTTTTAAAAATACTAACTCTGGTAAATCTCCTAAATCTGAGTACCTGTTTGTGTGTGTTGATCAGGTGTGTGTGGTGCTGGAGTGAAGTCGGTGTCTATCATTGAAGGAGATTCGGTCACTCTAGAATCGTCTCTTACTGAAATACAGAGCAGCGATGTGATAATGTGGAGGTTTGGAGAAATTCTCTTAGCAACAATCTACACAAAGGACGAGAAGAGGAAAACGTCTTATCCTGATGAGAGAATCAGAGACAGACTGAAGCTGGACAGTCAGACTGGATCTCTGACCATCACAAACAGCAGAATCTCAGACTCTGGACTTTATACAGTGACCAGCAGCAGCTCTACCACGCTACTCAACACTTTCAGCCTCACTGTCTATGGTGAGTAGGAATTACATACACTGCTTTAAATTATTTTAATTAAATAGTTTATTAACCTTCATAATATTTGTTTCATTGCTACTTTAATTCAATTTAAAACCTTTACAATATTATATTTGTGCATATACATTAGTCAGTACTGAAGCCAAATCTGGAGCTAATCTAAAATAGCTTCTGATAACAGTTCAAAATTAGTACACCCAAATGTATATATTTGGGAAATTTATATATTTGGGAAAATATAAAACAAATTAAAAAGAGCAAAATTCAAGTTATACAAATTATATTAAATAAATATTTTTGATCGATAGGAATTGCCAAACCTAAATATGTGAAGTGGTCTCTAGTTATTTTAAATGGAGTGTTTAAATGCAGAAAGCTGACTCTAAAAATGGGGGAATGTGTAACAAAAATGCTTTTTGAGAGGTTGATTGTATATTCAGGAAGTTTCCCAAAAGTGGTAATTAAATGTAAAAGGGCAGGAACAGATCTTTCAGAGTTCTTCAAATACAATATCACATCATCTGCATATAAGCTGATGAGAGCCTTACTCCTTCCAACTTAAAGACCTGTGATGTCATTATGATGTCTTTTAGATATAGCAAGGTGCTCTACAGCGATAGCAAAAAGAGCAGGTGAAAGGGCCCTGTTGTACTGAACGATGTAGAAGAAACTTGGATGATCTGTCAGTATTTGTTAAGATTGAACACATTGGTCTGGCATAAATTAACCTGATCCATGATATGAAACTCTCGCCAAAGCCAAACTTCTGTAGCGATTTAAACACATAGGGCTACTCAACCTGATCAAAGCCCTTTTGTGCACCCAGAGACAGAATTGCTGGTTCAGTAACTTTCGAGTGATTAGCATATAATGTATAAGGAGATGATGTACATCAAAAAAAGAGAATCTGCCCGGAATAAATCCTGTCTGATTAGAATGAATTATGGAAGATGTTTATTGAGCTGATTGTCTGATGTTTTTGTAATAACTTTCCTATATGGAAATTTTGAAGGGCCATTTGTCTGTAGCTAACCGGATCAGTTTCATCCCTATTTTTCTATAGAATAGAATAAAATAGATATGTTAGCCTCATATATAAAATAAAAAAATATTGTTTTTATAGTCAATTGTCATCCTAAAAAGAAGTGGGGCCAGAATGTCACAGAAACGGACACAAATTTTTGAGCTGAAACAGTCTGGCCCAGCCACCTTTCCTGCTGGAAAGACTTAATGGCCGACACTATGTCCTCCAGAGTTAAGTTTAAGTCTATTTCTCCCCAGGCTATATCACTGAGAACAGGCATTTCAAAAGAATCCAAAGCTATATTACAGTCATATTACTAGAGGTGTATAGTTCACTATAAAATTCTTTACAACGGGTGTTGATTTGTTTTGGGCAGGGGTATCCAAACTCGGTCCTGGAGGGCCAGTGTCCTGCAAAGTTTAGGGTCGCCACAGCGGAATGAACCGCCAACTTATCCAGCATATGTTTTATGCAGGCAATAGTGCTACCCACTGCACCCCTGTGCCACCCCTTGTCTGGCTTATCACCGGTTTCAAAATATTTTTGTCTTGTTCTTAACAGCAAATGATTTATTTAAATACAAAGGATAGAGTTGTATTTCTATTTAAGCCAGTTGGCACTTCTGTGTGGAGTTTGCATGTTCTCGCTGTGTTGACCTGGGTTCCCTTCGGGTGTTCCGGTTTCCCCCAAAAGTCTAAAAACATGTGCTATAAATTAATAGTATAAACTAAATTGGCCGTAGTGTATGAGTGTATGTGTAAATAAGTATGTTTCCCAAAACTGGGTTGCGGCTGGAAGGGCATCCGCTGTGTAAAACATATGCTGGAATAGTTGGCGGTTCATACTGCTGTGGCAACTCCTAATATATAAGAGATTTTGCCAAAGAAAAATGAATTAAATGTATTATGTTTCTATTTCTAAATATGTTTGGTGTCTAAAATAATATTTTAATAAATATATCAATTTAATAAAACTGTTTTGTTCAAATGCACTAAAATATAATACCCATATTCACTGAGAAATGGATAAAAATATTTATATTCATAATAAACATTATACATGTTTATGCTTGTGTAAATATATATATATATATATATATATATATATATATATATATATATATATATATATATATACATATATATATATATATATATATATATATATATATATATATATATATATATATATATATATATATATATATATATTTAGAGCGTGTGCGTGTGTATGTGTATATATATATATATATATATATATATATATATATATATATATATATATATATATATATATATATATATATATATATATATATATATATATATATATATATATATATATATATATATATGCATTTATATATACACACACACACACATTTTAAATCAACCAAGAAATAGTAGTAGAAAAATAGTTTCTAACTTACTTTTGTCACTTACTTTACATAAATAATTGTATTTATTTTCTAGCTCGTCTGCCTGTTCCTATCATCAGTAACTCTTTATCAGAGCAGTATTGTTCAGTGTTGTGTTCAGTGGTGAATGTGAGTGCTGTGAGTCTCTCCTGGTACAAAGGAAGCAGTGTATTGTCCAGCATCAGTGTGTCTGATCTCAACAACAGTCTCTCTCTACCTCTGGAGATTGACTGTCTGGATGATTTCTACAGCTGCGAGGTGAAGAATCCCATCAGCAATGAGACCACACAACTCAGCAGTACTCATATGTGTCAGCCGTGTTCAGGTAGGTTAATAGCCATTTATACTGTACTTTTCTCTCTCTCTATCTCTCTCTCTCTCTCTCTCTCTCACTCTCTCTCTCTCTCTCTCTCTCTCTCTCTCTCTCTCTCTCTCTCTCTCTTTCTTTCTCTAAATTAATCGAATTTAAACATTTTATATGTAATGAGATAAGCTATAAAATCTCATTACTTCTCTCCTAAGACTGTATCTGCTGCTGTGGTTCTACTGAAGCCTTGATTCGATTGGCTCTCTCTGCTGTGGTGGGCGTGGCTTCTGTTGCTGTACTGGTCTATGACATCAGATCCAGAAAGAAAGTAGAAAGAACAAACATCACCTTGTATTGGTTATCAGCTTGATTGTCCACGAGACTCACTAAAGGGCACTTCAGCTGTCTGTACACATCGTCTTTACACAAGCTACAGGTGATGCCTGCTGACAAGGCTGACAGCCACCACCAGGTCCTAATGCAGGCCTTATAAATGAAGTGAGCCTTGTCAAGTATGGTCTTACTCATACTTAAAATTGGTCCTCTGCTTTTAACCTATCCTTGTGCACAAGCACATTTTTGCATGAGGAGTGAGTGAGCACACACACAAACACACTGTGAGCAACAGAAAATCTGCATCAACAAATTGAGTTGAATTGAGTTAATCTGAAATTGACATGTCAGATTAAAATTGTTGCATTGTCTTTGCAATTACCCTCCCCCTTCACGCACTGTAAAAAATGTAATGACAAAGTGTCAAGATGAAAAAATCCAAGTCGAATATCCTTTTGTTGCTTTAGCTTATCTTAGCAAGTTAATCAGATTTTAACATTTTTTTTTAATCATACAAAATTTAACTCAATATTTTTAATTAGTTTGATTGAAGTAAGTAGAGATGACCAGAAAATTAAGGCAGCAAGACTTTTTTACAGTGTGCTTTATCCCCTCAGTTTTTAATAACCTTATGTGTTTTAGTAGGCTATTTAGTATAAACAAGAAACTTTAAGTAGGTAAAATTATCATCTTTGAATAAATGTTTTACATTTGTTTTCATTTTGTTTTAAGTTAATGACATGTTTGACCCTTATCTGTTGGGTTAAGTTCACCTTTTATAGAAGTTTGTACTTCTTATTTATCTAATAAAGCTAATAAACTACTCTGAATACAAAGTTTGTCATTATTGTGGGGATCATGAGAGTTGGGATTTCACGCATTCATATGTGTTTTACCGAGTTGGTTGTTGTTGCCATATAGATTTTCATTGAATATAGAAGATAAGACACTTTCGGCAAGGTAAGACTGTCTGACCAAGATGCTTTTTTTATTTTTATTTTGATTTTTTAAATATATTTTTTTCTTTGTATCTGTAAAGTGACAATGCTAATAAACATTGAGATCTCTAAAAATGTATGTGTCACTTTCAAACTAATATGCAATATTTACAAACCCTCCTACATTAAAAAAACATACATAGGAAACAGGAAAGATTAGAATTTACAACAGTAATTTGTAATAAATTGTAGTATATTACCCCAGAATGCACTATTAAAGTACTATATTAAATTGATAAACTGTAAACTAGTAGACAGTGGACTATTTCATCATATTGCAGTATTTACTATTTAGTCTAGTATTTACACTCTGTTAATCTATACACAATTCTGAACGGAAAGGACTAGTGAATTGAAAAGCAATATTTTACGAGAGTTGCTATATGGAGAAAAAAGAAATGCTAATGGGCAACAGTGTGGTCCAGTATGATGTAGTAAAATGGTTTACAATAATTAATCTTTTTTTTTTACTAGAAAGGCATAGAGGCCTCTAGTTGCCGAGTTGCTGATAGAAAACATTATGTATATGTTGTAGAAAGATTTTACAGTTGCCATGTAGTTTTTTTTTTATTATTATTATTATAACAAAATGAAACAGTTACATAAATTATATCACATTACATGCCAGGGAGCAAAACATAAATGTATCTTTTAAACAGATTCAGTTTTTACAGCGTTCTTGTTAGTGCATTCAGAAATCAAAGACATAAAGATTTAGTTCTTTAAGAAGAATCTGAAAGAAAAGAGTTTCCCATAGTAATTTGCTAAATCACTAGTTACTATAACAAATGTTACACTGCAAAAAAATGCTTTTCTACTTAGACTTTTTGTCTTGTTTCTAGTCCAAATATTTACACATTCTTGAATCAAGAAGTATTTTCTAGACAAGCAAAACATATTTATAACAAAACATATCTTGTTTTAAGAAATATGCCAAAAATGAAGAGAGTTTTTCCTTAAAACAAGCAAAATAATCTGCCAATGGGGTAGGCAAAATAATCTTGTTTTTCGATTTGTGATAAGATTATTTTGATTACCCCATTGGCAGATATTTGCTTGATTTAAAGAAAGACTCACTTCATTTTGGCATATTATTTCTTAAAACAAGACATTATCTTTTGCTTGTCTAGAAAATGATTCTTGATTTAAGAATTTTTAGATATTTGGACTAAAAAAGACAAAAAAATCTAAGTAAGAAGCATTTTTTGCAGCGAGAATTACACAAATAACACGCTGCAATTTACTATGGTTCAATTTACGGTTCAAAAACCTTTACGTTTTAACCACGGGACATTTACTAATGTTTTATAGTCATTTACTCTAAAATAATTGTGTGTTTTCATATGCTATAACAAACAACAATTCAATAAACAAAACCTTGTTAATCAAGACCGTCAAGATATTCTATCTGCGTGGAATCCGTTTTTCAAACTTTTTTTTTATCTTACAGACAAAGGGAGGCGCTTCTTGACGAGTGTCTAACTAGTTTGACGGACAAGGCTTCATTCTTGTTGTCAGCCTGCTGTTATTTTCAAATGTCAAATGTTTATAATAACACCTCTTGTGATCCTTTTAAACATTAGCAACGGTTTGCTTCGTTTAGAAAAAAAAAAAAAAAACTCGACATGTATATGGAGTCCGCCTGGTAAGTAGTCGTTATTTACGTGGCTTAATTTTTTTGTAAAATCAATTGTCCTATGCATATCCTACTTAAATCTTAAGTAACAAATAATGTTTTGTAGCCTATTTCTTTTTCTTCTATTAATATTAAGAACAATAAAATTGCGCTAAAACATGAAACCATTTTAAAAACCTAAAAACTGTGGTAAATCTGCAGATAAGAGTAGGCCCTACCGTGTGTGTCGATCAGGTGTGTGTGGTGCTGAAGTGAAGTCGGTGTCGGTCACTGAAGGAGATTCGGTCACTCTAGAATCGTCTCTTACTGAAATACAGAGCAGCGATGTGATAATGTGGAGGTTTGGAGAAATTCTCTTAGCAACAATCTACACAAAGGACGAGAAGAGGAAAACGTCTTATCCTGACGAGAGAATCAGAGACAGACTGAAGCTGGACAGTCAGACTGGATCTCTGACCATCACAAACAGCAGAATCTCAGACTCTGGACTTTATACAGTGACCAGCAGCAGCTCTACCACGCTACTCAGAACATTCAGCCTCACTGTCTATCGTGAGTAGAGAAATATACTATATTTAAAAGGTCTCTTCTATGTTTAATTTAGCTATTAAGCCTAAAGAAAATTATTTTATATAGCAATGATGTCTTACACATTGCATTGTTAGAATTTTTGTTATCTTAGGCATTCACTGCACAGCATTTTCATATTTCTTGCAAAATAATATGATATTAAATTAAAATATAATAACCCACATAATAATCTACTTTGTATTGTATTCACACTTTTTCAATGATAGCCTTTTAAAACAATATATATATATATATTTTTTTTCTGTCTCATGATGTTTCAAGTTTTATTTTTAGTCAGTGTTTTTCTCATTAGCATATCTTTGATTATCCTTATTTATATTTAATCTCTGGTGTCTTCCAGCTCGTCTGTTTGCTCCTAACATCATCAGAAACTGTTTATCTTCTTCCTCATCTTCATCAGTGCAGTATTGTTCAGTGCTGTGTTTAGTGGTGAATGTGAGTGCTGGGAGTCTCGCTTGGTACAAAGGAAGCAGTGTATTGTCCAGCATCAGTGTGTCTGATCTCAGCATCAGTCTCTCTCTACCTCTGGAGTTGGAATATCAGGATAAAAACACCTACAGCTGTGCGATCAACAACACCATCAGCAACCAGACCACACATCTGGACATTGTCACACTCTGTCAACCTTGTCCAGGTACAGCACTTTGTTCTATATACTGACATATGTTGTTTATATAATAAAATTGATCTATTAAGTCATATTGTGCTGATTTGATTTAATATTTGCTGTAGTAAATAACATCACATTAATACAACATTTGGTCAATTATAGATCATGGACTTCCTTTATTGCACACAATGCTGCCCTCTGCTGGAGGACTTTTGTTTGTTGTTTCTATGGTCTTCTGGATCTGCAGGAAACGAAGAAAAACAGATCAAGAAGGCAAGTGTTACCTATAGTTATACATCTGCATAAATATACCTCTTATTGACACTAAAGAACATGCAAATGTAATTACCAAACTTTTTTTTCAGTTTTCTTATTTATTTATTTTTATTTATTTATTATTATTATTATTATTATTATTATTATTATTATTATTATTATTATTATTATTATTGTTTGCACACCTGTCATTAGTTGAAGCAGTCCAGAGTGGTGAAGAAATAACATACGCTGATCCGACATTCTACAAAAGAAAAGCACAAAAGAAGGTATGATCATTTATTTTATGTACAGTGTGTATTTATTTCAGCAGTAAATCAGATGTACTTGTGTGTATAGTTGATGATATATGTGTGAATAATGAAAATAAACAGCACTATAATGGATGTTTTAGTTTAATAAATGGTCAGTAATGCTTTTGATAAACGAATCTACTGTATGACATGAATTCATGTTTGTTTCAGAGAGTTGCAGATGAGGAGGATGTGGTGTATGCTGGAGTCGCCATGAGACACTGATCAAATTCATTCTGTCTAAAGACTCAACCTATCAACTTTCTGTATCCCAAATACCCCAAAATTAGATAGGAATTAGTTAACTGTATCATTGCAGATGACACATATACCTCTGAATGCTGAGAATCTCATTGGGGTGGAGGAAATGGGAACTGAGTACATAAAATCAATGCAAAAAAAAGCTTTTCTTACTTCAAGTTTTTGCCTTGTTTTTAGTACAAATCTTTAATCAAAAGCATCTAGAAAAGCAAAAATATTGTCTTGTTTTCAGAAATGATGTCAAAGTTTATTGGGTTTTCCTTTGAAACAAACAAAATAATATGTCAATGCAGTAAGCAAAATAATATTACTTCAAAGCAAAACAAGATAATTTTTTTTATCCGATAGGTTGATTATTTTGCTTGGTTAAAGAAAATCAAAATCAAAATACAATTTTACGAATAACTTTTTCTGAAAATGAAAGAATATTGTTTATTGTCTAGAAAATGCTTCTTGATTTTAGAATATTTGGATTAGAATTAAAACAAAAACTCTAGAAAAGCATTTTTTTTTTGGTTAAGAGGCTTTCTATTAAAGAATTTTCTTTTCTAACTGACATCTAAATCTAGACCACTTGTTAAAACATGGCTAAATATTAAATCCTAACTGTAGAGTTAGGGGTGGGGTTAGGTGAGCCCATTAAAAAGCATTGGATGCAGCTCAGATTGCACTGCACCACGTCTGCAGCCAGACCACTCTCCCCTCATCAGACTTCAGAAGGTTCAGAATCCTGCAGCTCATTTGTTAAAGGAAACAAGAAAGTGGGAACAAATTATCCCCATTTTAGCTTCTCTCCATTGGCCCCTGTTCATTTTAGAATTGATTTCAAGGTCTTAGCCTACCCAATTCACCTGTACTGCATGTCTTTGGACTGTGGGGGAAACCGGAGCACACAGAGGACACCCACATGAATGCAGGGAGAACATGCAAACTCCACACAGTAACGCCAACTGACCCAGTCAAGGCTCGAACCAGCGACCTTTTTGCTTTGAGGCAACAGCAATACTTACTGAGCCACTGCGTCCCCTACCAGTGGATATATTGTATATTGTTAGAAGGAAGAAACCTGAATGAAAGCGATATATAGATGGAGATTAAAAAGCTAGATAAAATAAAATAAATTATAAAATAGATGTGCAGTGATGGGTAAGTAATTGG